CTGACAAACCTGCAGTATGTACACTGTCAAAAAGAACAGGATTTGGATTTGGTTACGACGTTGGGGTACTAGTGGCATCGATGCGTGTGATGTCGGTTGGGATGAACCTAGTCATCGCTGCTAACACAGGGGATCGTAAGTTGGTACTTAGAAGGGGTGTAAGGGATAGATGCAAGCAACAGCATCTACACACGCCCGCGATCTTTCAAAGCTATTTGAGGGCCGATGTAGGGTGTGGCCGAAACCCGAGTATGGCGTAGTTGTATGTTAATGGGCAATCATCCCTGGTGGAACGATTAAAGACGCTAGCCTAAATCTCGGGGTGACTAGGATCCATTGGAAATGTGGGGAAATCAAGACGACTAGACCTGTAGCCCAAAGGTAACAAGTTTGTCTTGTAATCTGACAGCGGCGGGTTTGAGCCTGCGTGGGAGCAGGGCGACCCTCGCAGTATCCTTAGCCCACGTGCGACCTGTAGCAGTTGCGAGGCAGCGAAGCGTCGGTACTGCCTACCGACGTACCGCTGATGCCCTTACTACTGAAGTCAAGATGAAACATCCTCACACATGGACCCTACCACAGTTACCACGGAGAGAAGGCTGAGATCATCTGATATTTTACTGTCGTTTTCTGCGTGCGTGACTTCGGGAAGGGCTAATGAGTTTGTGCGCTTCGATGCGCCTACCCACCTGCATGTTTCCTGATTAACAGGGACGACGCGCAATAACGCGGACGCCGGCCTGTATTTTTGCGGATAAACGAACATTGTGCATAGTACGCGGGAGCTCTCTTGACTACGGCACCAACAGTTGAACGATGGCTATATCTAATAATATGCTAAATGTGTCGATGTTTAAGAGTTTATAATATTGACGTCTCCACTGCAATTATCGCATGCCTCTGACGAAACAGGTGCATGTTATATTCAGATCAGAAAGTCATGTGCACTCCGCTGGAAGTAATGAATCCGTTTACTTTACCAATGGAGTAATGTCCTACGGAAATACAGAATAATAAGGGGCGAATTCGTAGTATCAAGGTGGGTACATCGTTACCGTTCGACAGGTGTACTTTGAGTGGTGAAACGGCTGCTAAAAAGCAGCGGGCTTGATTAGTATCAATTTTCATGGGAACACCAAGTATGAAAGGACGTTGGAAGCACAGCGCTGGGATCTCGAGGCACATCTACATCGATTCATATCCAGTAACGAAGATGGAGCTGAACCAGACGTAGTGCAGTTGTTTGCGTCTCAATAGTAGGAACACCGTCAACCTGAGAGCTGTGGTGGTTATAAGCTCATTTTGATTAACGTACTGCACAAACTGCTAGTGGTACACTTCAGCGCGAATACCCACGCTCGAAGCGAAGCAGTCGTTAGCTAAAATTGCACAAAATCTTCCGTGACAAGTTCGAAATCCTGCGGACAATCTCGAGCACACTTACATGATTTCGAAACACGATGCAATTGCATTGTGGTGCATGGTATCAGCTCAACGGATACAGCGGAGAACCACAGATCTGCATTCCCGAATGGTAGTCATAGGACACCATTTTATCTTGGTCGTCAGATTCCGTATCATACATTGAAGCGTCTCTGCCATCGTCACCATACAGTTGTGGCCACACTGTTCATAGGCTGCGCGGACGGCGCAGACGCGATAATAATTAATATAAGGATCGCAGCTAGCGTCGCGTATCTCCGTGTCCGCATTCTACGTCAGGCCAATTCGCGCACAGTTGTCGTGCACTGTGGAGTCCAAACAAGTTAACGAGATCGATGTTGCAACCAATTTAGGACTTGGAAACTGATTTTCAAAAATTCAGAAATGCATACCTTGCCTCATTAGGGAAGTCAAGCCAATGACTCGGTGCATTTGTGACAGCGATGCTGCAGCGAGTTAGTGACAGTCTGTTACACTAGGTCCAAGTGGGCATCCGCGTGCACCTGGCTTGACAGCATCTGCAGCAAACCCAAGGGGCAATTTTACCTTTCGTTTTGTCTATGCGCGCCGATCGATCACAACAAGCGTGAAAACATGGGCCCTTCCAACAACCCACATCGATACGACTAAGAGCACGAAAGCTGAGACCGTCATGGGTAGCATGAATGTCTAGTGCCTCAATGAGCCGACTCGGCTTCGGAGTTGTTGCCTGTCGATCTAATAACAGCGAGCAACTTATTCAATGACAAAACTACCTTGTAGTACAAACCTATGCATCAGGTCACCTGGTTTGCGCCAAACAAAGCGACGCATTTGACGTATTTCGGCCTACCCGTTATTAACTGCAAATCGTAGGCCGGTGGCAGGTCGAGAGAATTGAGCGCCTGCCCTGTAATCTGGAGGTCACCAGTTCGAATCCACGTAGACGAGGGCGGCCGTGCAATGTACATAGCCTATGAGCGACAAGCGGTGGTCGTGATAAAATGTCAGTATGATGTGACAAAATACTGCTGATGCCTAGCCACATTGTGTTCGCCAATGAAGTACTATTACTTGATGTAAAATACAAATTAGTTTATTCCACTTGTGCCGTACAGGAGCCTCGTTCTGCTCAGCTGGATGCAGAATCCGCGAATCAGCCAGGATGGAAACGATTAAGTCGAATTCTAGTCAAAAATGGTCATAACAAGCCATGGATAAGGAGTTAGAAGCCGTTGACTGAGGTTTGCTGAAACGAATTGCTTGCACCAAGAAAAACCATAGTGCAGGGATGGGTCGTAGATGGTAGAAGCAGGGTAAGGCAGAGGATGCTGTAACCGAAATGTCCGGAAGCTTTCCCAAATTATACGGTGCATGGTTTCCCCTAAAACATCAGTGGATTACGGGAGATCTATTCACTGTAAGACCACCAATGTGAATGTTGGAGGGAGATATCGACGCATGCAGTGCTGCGGCTGCGTTTCCGCTGTCAAGGAGAACACCTAAAATTGCCTCGTCGAACCGGGACGGTTCCATGGTTTTACCAATTACGGCTATTGATGCAGTGCTATATTCGGAGCCGAGTGGGTGGTAAGGTATCAAAATTGTGGTTGATGAGCATGCAACTGTAGTATCGAGGTGCAGGTATCGCCGCTTTGCTTTCTCAAAAACGAACATTTAATAGATAATTCCATAGTTATCCTTAAGGCTAATTTGTAGGGGAGCAGCATGTTCTGTGTAACCAATATGCGACCAGTAAATTACCGAAAAAGGCAATACTAGATCCGTAGGCAATGAACATGCAATTGAAGCAGAACCATTATGAGCTAGTGGCTGGAGATAGGCAATTAACGTTTACATGTGAACGTGTCACTATCCCACTGTTTCTGCACTCGCAATAAGCACATATAATGTGCACAAGCAACATTCGACTAGTAGTATTAATGCGATTGTGGGATTGTCAATTCAGAGACGGATCCGTGAAAGGTCTAGCTCAAAAGCAACTGCAGAAACGGTCATACTCGGTCCAGTCAAGTAAAAGGACGCAGTCCGCAGCATGCAAATTGCACATAAATGACACTTTTCCCGTTCAAAGACAGCGGTAATTAGTAGTGGTGTTGGCAGATAGACTATCTTGGGACACGGATCGAAGAGCGCACTTTCATGGTAGTCTGATGATAGCATGATTACTTTTGGCTACCGGTGCCTTTGCAGTTTCACTAATATCTGGTCGGAACAAAGCAATGAGCGTGTTCGACGCCTTGTTTATGGCGCAGGGAGATGCGAACCGCTTAGCACCGTTATTGCCCACTGGGCTTCGATAGCTGGAACACGTGTAGCGCATGCCAGCTTAACCACTCCCGCGATGTGCTTTGTTTGCCTGCCGGGGGTGCGGATGGAAGAGGTGGCTAACGATAACTTGGTCAAGAGAAATGAAGATTCTTAGTTAGCCTCTCGGCTCCCTGGTTGGGGACTGAATGACAATGAACGTGCTTGGCCTGATACTACTGTTGGCATGGCTAGTAGCCGACGACAATGGCATGTCTTGTGAGTTTCGATGTCCCTCCCCCACCAACTCCGATCTCAATCAGAAGGCACAATGACACAATAGCCGGCTGTTAGCTCTCTGGGACGGTGTACATCCGTTACTGGTGGCTCAGCCGTCGTGCCTCCGTTGTATTGTGGCTGAGGTGTTTTCCACCTCAGCTAACGTACGTAGTGAATGATGGCATGATCCAGTTTGTAGGAAACTCCGTGTACGATAAAAGAATATCAGCATGGAAAAAGCGCTGTGAATCTTTTCGTGAAACCGGGATACAAGGAGCTGAAGCCGCAGTTAGATGCATGGCAGGTTGTCAATTAAAATATGGTGCAAACTCTTTATCCTAGGTGCGTAATAATCAACAAGTCTCTGACAGAGATGGTCACTCTAGTTCGCTGATGTGATGTTTCAACCAACACCAGATGGATGGATGACGGTCCAACTGCGAAGCCAATACATGGTCTCATCCGTTGATTCGGCTACACCGTATTGTGCAGGGTATAGAGAACAAATGCAAAGTAACAGAGCATTGAAAATAGATGGCCACAAGTTGGTGCTTAGAAACTAGAACCATTGGGAGACAGCAGTGGATTGGTAAGGATGACAATGAGAACGAACGCGAGCCCGCAATTGAGTGCGCTGCCACAAATAACAGTCGTGAAATTTTACCATGTGGACACGTTTAATGTAAAACTAGGTTAGCGGCAGCTACAAAGCAATCGACAACGATCGCAAACTTGTCAAAACCGCTGAGGAAGTGGTGATTGATTGAAACGAGTAAGAGCACTTCTGCCATTAGTGAGTTCACTTGACCGTGTTTTAACAGAAATAGATATAACCGTATGCACATGGCAGAATGCCGTGCAGAGGCTTCGTAGGTTACAGCTAGACAAACATGACATCATGGGTCGCTGCGGAGCGGAAGCGTACGTGACCAATTTGATAATAGTTCTCGTTGAACTTGCGGATACATAACAAAGGATGTAATCTCGTGGCCCGTGCCTCAACAAATGAAATGGCGTCAGCGGATGCTCACCTGTAGCGCGCCATCGGCAGTGGAATCCTGGGAACTCTGTTTCTGGTAGCAGGGCGTTCGAGATCCTGACGGGTTAGATCGGAAGAAACAAAGGTCGATTCGAGCATCCACAAGTACACAACTGTCCAATTTAAATGAACCGGTGAAATTTCGATACTATAACAGTAAATGGTGTTATCTGAACCCTGTCCACAGTAATCCAAGTGCTGCACATCACACTAAATCATTCAGTATTCAAGTTCACTGCATTCAAGGTCTCCATCCAATTGACGAGTTCGCGCAAGCTCCATGGTGCGACAGGACGAGTTGGCTCGTTTAATCAATTGGCACAATTCAGCTGGCGATGTGCGACTGAGCAAGGAAATGATACCGAAAAAGCTTGGAGGTTTGACTATCTCCAGCCCCTAGCAATCGTGACGTTAATGACAACCAATTGCAAGGTAGATAATGCGGGCGAAAATGCAACCAGCCAGCGGGGCACGAATCTCCCAGGACTGAAACCGCGTTGCTTTGAACAAGCTACCCTGCATCACAATGTGGCCTTTGTCGAAACGCGCACCGTTTTTTAATTGCCACTTCAGTGTAATGACTTCTGAGCTGAATAGAAAGTCTTACAAGGTGTTGCTAGCTGACTGCGGTGCAGTCAAAGCAGTCAAAGCCTTAGTTGAGGCTTCCAAAAAATCCGGACTTGTCAGCAGGTGGACAAAATCGTGAACTAGTTAAGCACGTGGCGATAACGACTAACAGATACAGCTAGCACGTTTTGTACAGGTTGGTTACAACATTCTAATCAGAAGATATCAAAGTATTGAGAGCTGCAGTTGAGCACGACAAACATGATAGGACAGTTTGGACCAACTCACCTGTAACACCCTAGGAAGCGCAAATCTTGAAGCAGCCAGCAAACGAGCTCTTCTTAAGGAGTGATAAGCCATCAAATTAGAGTACAACCTCGATGGACGAACAGGTTGGAGTTCACGTCTGCGTTCGTAAACTGGTTTGCGCAGAGTCCGTTTGAATACACCACGTTTGGCTGCACGTGAAATAAGGGGAAAGGATAGGCGACCTACCTCCGGCAAAACGCCTTGCAAGCAAAATTCGTGACTGTGCATTTGAACGTGTCGGTCCTGCTTTACTCAAATTCCCTTTGTTCCGAACGACTGTGGGGCGATCAGCCACCTTAGTTGATAGGGTCGGAGGCTTTCTATCCGTGGCCTCAACGTTGATTTTGTGGCCATGAAAATCAATCCCGTTGAACTTACGAGCAGCAGCCTCAGCTTCTTCGGATGATCCCATCTGCAGAAATCCAAAGCAGCCACCGGGAGACCGCGTACTCATGACTATTGTAGCGGAGATAACCTAAAAAAAGGTTCAAGGTTGAGAACATCCGGCTCGGGCGACCAACCTTGCCAGCTTTGCTGAACTGTTGCTTTAAATCAGCAGCCTTCGCAGTCTTCGGTAGGTTGCTAACCCAGAGATTTCGTCGGGACTCGGAAGACGTGGTTGTTGAGGGCGTTTTTGGCAACGTGTTAGGAGCACTTTTAACACTCTTCCCACTAAAAGGGGAAAGTGCATACGTAGCGTAAGATGTCGAGAGACAATGGTGATGTCCCAAACTAGTAAAACAACGAACCTTTCCAAAGTTACAATGTCGCCATCCACGTGTTTCTCTGCGTTATTTGCTGAGTGCCGAGCTGAACCCACAGAGTCATCCACTTGTTTGTCAACCTCGGTTTTTAGATCGTAGTCTAGGTCCTCCTCTGCGTCACCGACCTGAACGACATAGGTCACGGACTCGTCCGTTAGTTTTTTTGTCTCCCCAGGCTCCGCGGTGGAATCTGAACGCGGTAAGTCGCTGTCCTTGACGTACGCTTTGTCTTGCAAGAAGAAGAACAAGTTGAAAAGCATCAGAGACGCAATTAATGGCAACCATGAGAAAGCCTCAACTTCACTTCACTTCTTTTGCAGAGGCAAGGGAAGCAACTCAAAGTTTGGAGAAAAGGGGCATGGTTTGCTTGCCGGTACAAATACAACGCTCGTTAGGCGGGAGTTCATTTCGTCCTTGGAACCCGACCTGACCTACACTCCTTGGCAGAATTCAGCATTACTGGAGTATAAAAGGGCCGAGTTCAGGCGATTCACAGGCAAATGTTGGTTGACCCTGTCCCTCGAATTTGGCGAGACTCCTTAACAGCTTCTTACCACACCCCATAGTTAAGGTAACCTTTTTAAACTGTGGTTGTTTCGCTTTTTCCTTAGTCTTCCTCCGTTGAGAAGTAAAAACCTATTATGTAGTTGAACGCTGGGAGCTGTGTCGATTAGTGACACGCAAAACGGAACGCCCGTTGGGAGAATGTTTGTTTCTCCACTAGAGCCTGTTTGTTGCAGCCTGACTCAAATAATCCTCGGTCTCTTCATGGTTATGTATCGACAGAAAATTAGGAGCACTAGAAAGTTAGATCAACACCCCAAAAATCATCAGCTTAGAAACATCAAGAGCTACCAGGGACCAAGACAGAAAACGCCGAGAGGAGTACAACAGCAAATATACTCACCGGTTTCAGATTCCTCGTCGTTAAGAGACTAAAAGTGAAGAGTAGATTAATAATAATGGGAACAATACCAGCTGCTCCGTAAACTCGGAATCTCCGCCAACATCGTCAGCACCGAATTTGTAATTCGCCGGGTCGTGACCGTCCTCTTCTAAAGCCTGCAAACAATAAACAAAACCAGAATATACCTCTCTCAGGCGATCGACCAACACCTGCTTTACACCACTTTTATCCTTGTGTCGTTTCTCCAACTCCCTTCGAAGGTCCGCAACTTTCAACTCCGACAGAGCTCTACCGTCCATATTGGAATGGCTGCCGTGTGAGCGTGACAAAACAAGGAATCTAGCGGTTGAGACAAACAAATTAAAAGAGAATCGACACATGGCTTAGGACACTTTTTGACTGTCTACTGAATATATGTGCAATCAGCTCAATAGATTCATGGGCATTAGTAATCAATAAAAAATTTTGAGTTACTGTATTTTGAAGACGCTTCTTTCAGTGGACAGTTTCCGTATGTTGTTTAAAGTCCCGTGCAAAAAGTTACTTTACTGTTTGCAAATTTAGTATAATCTAAATAATTTTCGACCACTATTTTCTCCGGATTACGTTCTACCCTGGCTTTGGGTACTTACCTAATTTAGTCCATATTTAGGTACAGCCTCTGGCTATTTGCCTGGTACTTTTGTGTGTTGCAATCCATTTTGTACATTGTTCAAACATGTTAATGGTTCTATTGCCTCCCTGCAGTGAGCAGCTTATTGGTTTCCTCGTTTTGAGCCTTGTTTCGCGCTTCTTTGTGGTCGTAATCTCGATTGCACCGATTACTGGCTTTAATTTCTCTTCGGTTACATTAATCAGCGCATCTAATGAGGTATATGGCAGTAGGACTTGCACAAAGCCTGTTACTCATGAGTCTAAGGGCACGCGGTACTCAGTATCAAACTGTGGGTACCATGGGTCCTGTACCGAATAAAGCCATCAGCGATGCGCAGGGAACTCGACTAATGATAACGTTCGGATTCGGTAGGAAGAACGCTGGAAAACCCCTAATTGTTCCCACTTAAGCGGATCGTCGAGCCAGAAAACAATAGGGTGCTACGAGGTCTTACTGTCTCTAAATCGTAGCTCCGAAACCACACCCTAGTCAACCAATAGCTGCCCACGTTCCCTGCACTGGTAGTGCCAGCTTTGCAGGTTACATGGACAAAAATCTAGAAAGGAGATAAAGGATAACCAAGTAGCTAAGTCATATAATGAAGGGTACCACCAAGGAGCATGAAGCATAACAGAATATAAAACAGTTGTAATTGTGATATGGTCAGGAGCATGAGAAGACTTCTTTTTGCCATGCCCTTGCGCTGAACTGACTCTCGAAACCCTTAGCTGCAGGTTCACTTACTACACATTCTGGAAGCGAGTTGTAACACGCGATAGCTACGCGATAGTCGGGTTTGCACCCTGATCCGGTAGGAACGCGGCTTGTATCGCTTTTGGGGATGACCGCCGGTACAAGACAACTCAGCCGGGATAAATAGACAGCTCAAGTCCGGTCCAACCTACCCAGTCAAAAGGGGGTAAGTAAGGATTTGCTTACCTCGAGCTGTCGGTATTGCATTGAATACATGCCCAGATTAAGTAGACGATTGCGGTACGTTTGCCCCTTAAACTCTCGACCAACTTTACCTACTCTCTGAAGCCTATCCAGCTCCAATGTTGACCTGAAAATGCAGGAAATGCAAGCCTGGACGCAATAGTCTAGATGAGACCGAACAAAGCTAGGAACAGATCACGAAGATGTCGGCAGTTGGGACTTTAAAACAATGACTTATTAACCACCGCATTCTGGAACCCCTAGTTCTTCATTCCGCCAGTTATCACAAGCATGCAAAGACGAGAAATGTACGGCGCCTAGGTTTAGCTGGATGAAGACAATAGAGAGTTCGAAGCCACAAAGCACGTACATAGAATGGGGAAAGTTGCTTCTAGACAAAGAATGGAACAAAGCCTGATTAATCGGCAGTAGCCACAAACTAGCCCGTCCCAGATTCCGTCCAGGGCAGGCCGATAGACCGCCAAACCCCCAGGGACATTTGCACCATTCCAAAGCTTAAGGCCACCAGCAAACGACGGTGATGAAAACCCAAGCTTCCCAGAGAGAACGGGTACGTAGACGGAAAACCACTCCGGCACAAGGACCGTGTCCTCTGGGACACCGCTAAGAACCACTTGCCTAAAGGATAAGCAGCGACACAATCGCACTCACTGCTCTTTTCCCTTCGTGTATGCAGGTGCGCCTTGAATGGCGTGGCCAAGTAAACCGTAAGGCTGAGATTGTATGATAGCCCTAAAGTAAGGCACCTTATCTAATGCTTTCAGGAAGCCGACGAAAAGCAAGCCTACTATGTGACCATTATGCATTGCTTCAGCCCGAGCTTCACGAGCAACCAAAAAATTTGTCAGGCAAGGACACCCCTTCCGGTATCCGTGTTCTACACAACTGAGTAGGTTACTTTCCCTGTATGCTGTAGTTCTCGGGCTGCGAGCCTTGACGACATGAAGGTAGCAACAAGCTACCTAGGGCTGAGATGGCAGCAGATGTGGTCTTCCCCACATCTCCTAAACATACATTGGAGTTTCTTAGGAAGAATCTGGCAGCGTCTAACGATTTTGGCGTATTTGAAGAAGCAACGTAGTCACCCACACCTGCTATTGATGAGAATCTGACTAAGGTGATGGCTACCTTGTCTGGTGCACCAGCTACACAGCATGCCCCTAACTAGGCCACCGATTTCGTACCGGTTGCCGTCAAAGCGAGACCGTTCTTAGGGCCCCTGTGAACACTAAAAGCAAAAGGAAGGAGGCTGAGAAAGTGCATAAGGCCTCCGCAAAGCATGATGGTTCGACACACACGAAGCCGTTGAAGGTGGAGTACAAAGCTCCGACACAAACTACCCCAGCTCCTTTGGCGAAGATACGCGTCGTATCACATACCAAACCGATCGAAACTGTGGTCGCATCGAAGAATCATGGAGTCTATGCGCCTGATAAAACAGAGCCTTTTACTGATACCGACGTTAGTTTCCTTAGCGTAGTTAAATCCGCAGCAGCTTTTCCCAGGGTACACATGCTGGATGATCTCCCGTGGTTCACACACTGCGACGCCAAAAGGCTTCCGCCTGTTTTCCCTGGTGTCACTACCAGAAAGCTAACCAAACTTGGGAACGTCCACGTCAATACACCAAGGCTGCAACACTTACAACTTAACTAAATAAATATCGTATACTGGAATGTATGGAGGCACACAAAATTAGAGGACTACGCGCAGTGTAGTAGTGTCAATGCGTGTTGAAATTAAACCCAAGAGTAGCAACGTCAGCGTTCAACCGGACCTTCCTATGGCAAAATGACTAACGTTAAAGGAAGCCAACAAAAGCCTAAACCCACAGGCAAATAGCTGGTTAACAATCTTTCCGTCTTGTGGGTTTTCAAGTGGTCAGCCGGCGGGCAAATCCTGCTCTTCCAGAACCCCTCTTGGTAACGTACAACCTAGGGCCGGTCGCGCTGAATTCCTTAGGGTAAGGTTTAGCAATGTGAGTGGACTAAGGAACAAGACACATGAGGTGGGTATGATTTAGCCAACGCTAGTCTAGACCTACGCGCTTTCACTGAAAAGTGGTTATCCCCGAATATTACAGATAGGGAAGTATAAGTATCTGGCAGCGCACTGCTTATATGCGATTGCTCTGTTGGTCGCAAAGGTGTGCGTGTTAGCTGGAAACAAGATGTGCTGTAGACCAGTGTTTTCAAGGCGCCGATGCAACTTGCTGAAACCTGTCAACAGTTGTGTGTACGTCCTCTACCCGTATTAAATTTGTAAATGAGTATAACCAAGCCCTGCAAGGAAGTCCAAGGAGGTTATTGATTTAACGGGTACTCAGGCTGCAAATAGGTGTAGAGTAGTGGTAGAGTTTAACCACTCTGCAGTCGGTTAAGCTGATCTTCCTTGCAGTTATGCGGTGGGCACCTAGGCTTAATGTCTTTTCCAGCTAAAGTTGCAACCGCCATTGCATCACTTCGTGGAACTTCCAAGTACAAGCATGAGCAATCGACTTCCATTTAACTTGCATCGCCATCATGCGAAGTCGCAGGTTTTCGGAAAGGATAAAACATTGGCCGGGCCACCAGGGGCCAAGGCTTAGAGCTTCATATCCTTTCGATGTTCTCTCACTAAGGATAATCAGAAACGGCTTAAGATTGTCCAAATATTTGGCGCACCTAATTAAAAGCATTGCCTAACAAAACTACAGAGTGTTTTATTAATCATGTCCGGAGCTAGGAGCGGCGGCACGCAGATGCTGACGTGCCCCGGTACCCAGAATCGCTAACTGTCCAATGGCACAAATTGCTTTGACGGCAGGTGTAAGAAGGAACACGGAGGCGCGACGGGTGTGCATACTCTCGCAGAGCACAGAGTCGTTCAGCTGTGAGAACGGAACGTTGGCAAACACCACAGCAAAAATGAATGCGTCATGCCTCGACCGCAGGGCAAGATCAACGGAACGCAAGCCGTTCGACTGTGAGAACGGAACGTTAGCAAGACACCACAGCCGCAGTGAATGTGTCATACTTCAGTCGATCGTTAGTCGGCCTTCACCAAGTTAAAACACCAGCAAACGTGTTCCCTGCAAAGAGGCAGTAGGTAGCTGCACTATTAATTGCGAAAACAGCCTTGCCGTATGTGAGGACCGGTCGATGTGCGCCGTAGTGCTATTGCCACAGAAGCTGTCATCGCCTCATGCCTGGCTTCCAACAAACCCGTAAGCCTTTATTCGGCTGCTTTCGATGCTAAAGGGCAGCATACTGCCGCGAGCACATTGTAATTTTACAGCGTGATTGGCTTTATCGTTTTTGAGCGCGTGTAGGTTACAGCTGAGAATTCACCCTTTATGGGTTTACAAAAGCGACTTCTTGACTTGATGTGACAATGCACTTAGAGTACAGTCTGCCTCGAACCTCTGGTATCACTATTAGATAGCACAGCAATTTAGTCATGAATGTAACTATTGCTCTTGCAGTCAGACAATTGCTCGTTGTACAAATTGATCCGGCATTTGTTGGTGTTCCTCGTGGGCAATGGAGAACATACGTTTATTTGTTTCTTTACTTACCTTTACACGAAGTGTATGAAATGTTTGTACATACCAAGGAATAAGGTGTTTGCAAGATCACACTACTTAGGGCCTTGCGCCGTCACGCATGAAGTATCAGGTTACGCGGTTGCGCAACTGGTATGCCGCAG